TTAAAACTCATTTGAGACTGCACCTTCCTCTGGTATATTTCATGCCTATACTAGGCCCTCTGTAATTTACATTTTAAATTCCTTAAAGCAGGGATCCAGCCATCTTATAGGTTTAGCAAATAGCCTAGCACACTGATGCATGTGCTTTCCTTCTCCACACGCTTCTCTGCCTGGATACTTGCAATCAGTAATGCAAACAATTGAGTCACTGAACACGCTTCTCTTGTTAATCAAGTCTGCAACATTAGCACTTTCAGTTCATGTTTTTGTTCAGGACCTGAAGTAGGCTAATGAAAGACATTTTAAAAGATTCCTGTTGACTGGCTCACTGCCCCCAAGAAGCTATACTGAGAGGGTGCACACAGTGTGGCTTGGTAAAATGGTTTGAAGAAACAGGCTCCATCTGGATCTGGAAAGAGGATGATCACATTGTGAGTCAATACTGCATGCTAGGATGCATAATGTTTATAAACATCATTTATGTACTAAATATAAGAGCAGGTGGTATGTGAGTTACCCTATGCTTATTAGGTGAGACCCCCAGATTTATAACAAGTTGACAGTATGGCTCTTCAATGGTCAAGGGTTGGACATCTCAGCTTCAGTGCACATGATCTTCCACTACCCAATACGAAAGCACAGGCAGGACCTTTACTCTTAGCCAAATAAATACTATGCTCAGCATTTTGGAATCATAGAATATAAGGATTGGAAGGGACCTCAGGATGTCATCTAGTCCAACCCCCTGCTGGAAGCAGGACCAATCCCCAACTAAATCATCCCAGACAGGGCTTTGTCAAGCCGGGCCGTAAAAACCTCTAAGGAAGGAGATTCCACCACCTCCCTAGGTAACCCATTCCAGTGCTTCACCACCCTCCTAGTGAAAAAGTTTTTCCTAATATCCAACCTAAACCTCCCCCCACTGCAACTTGAGACCATTACTCCTTGTTCTGTCATCTGGTATCACTGAGAACAGTCTAGATCCATCCTCTTTAGAATCCCCTTTTAGGTAGTTGAAAGCAGCTATCAAATCCCCCCTCATTCTTCTTTTCTGCAGACTAAAGAAGTCCGGTTCCCTCAGCCTCTCCTCAAAAGTCATGTGCTCCGGCCCCCTAATCATTTTTGCACTTGTCTTTGTTGAACCCCATCAGATTTCTTTTTTTGGCCCAATCCTCTAATTTGTCTAGGTCCCTCTGTATCCTATCCCTACCCTCCAGAGTATCTACCACTCCTCCCAGTTTAGTGTCCACCTGCAAATGATCCTGTTCAGCAGGGAGAGGTGGAAAGTGCGCGGGTGATGTTAAAAAAAACAAACAAAATCTTTCAGACTTCTTGTCAAGACCGTCAGTTGCAGAAATTGTTGCTCTTGGTTATAGTTCAAGAGCTAGAAACACATGCAATCTCTGATGGGGAGAACTGGAAATGTATATTTAAAAACTGAAAAAGGAAATCCTTGCAAAGGAAATATAATCATTAGCCTAGGGAGCTCTGGGCTGCAGGATATTATTGATGCAAACTGCTTACAGTTTCAAAACAGGATTATGCATTTATATGAAAAACAGCATCTGCCGTCTAGTGAGAATAAAAATCAGGGCTCTCAATCTTCATGCTTCAGGGCAAAAAACTGATTCCCAGCTGATCACACTCACCCTCCCTCCCAGATAGCATCACACAAATAGATGCACTTTTTAAAGAATTCCTTCCTCTGAAGCATCCAGGATTAGCCATTCTCAGAGAGAGGATACTAGCAGGCTAGCTGGCTCACTGGTCTATTCCAATATAAGAGATTTACTTATACCAGACAGCCGTAGGACATGCATGGGACTTTACAGATTACATAGGAACTGCACTATAATCAACAATCCTGTCTTCAGCAGTGGCATGTGTCAAACCCTTTGGAAAAAAGTGCAAGAAACCCTGTAGCGGACAATTATGGAATAAACCTGCCCATGGGGAACTTTTCTTACTTGACCCCTGTCATTGAGTGGTCAGTTTGTGTTCTGAAGCCAGATGGTTTCATACCCGTTACATTTATCCTACTTAATGTAATCATGGCTCTACTTAGGTCCTTACATGATGCCCATCACCATGGTCTCAGAACACCTCCCAGAAAGAATCAATGTACAGAATCTCTTTCTCTCTTCCCATCTGTATCTCCCCTCATATTCAACAAATCCCTAAACTGACCCAATCATTTTGATCTCTTCATATGAATGTTTTCCCAGTCCTCTAACCACATTGATGGAACAACTCTGACCCCTCCATTTCTGCTCTTTCTGAGATGGAGGAGGCCATAATTTAACACAGTATCACTGATTCTAAACATTTTTAATATCATCCTAACTTTATTTACTTCTTTGGCCCTGCTATACAACTGAGCAAATACTTTCATTCAGCAAGCCATAAAGATGCCCAAGTCTTTTTTCCTGTGTGATTATGTGTAGGCAAGGAATAGTTGGAATGACTAGTTGCACGTCACTTTGGTAGCTGAAATTCATTGTTGACAAATGCATTGTATTGTTCATTCACTTAGCCTGGTTAGGTCCTTCTGCAGCTCTTTGGTCTTCTCTGCTTTCAATTAACCTAAATAATTATGTCACCTACAAATTTTGTCAATTTATTGCTCACTCTCTTTTTCTAGATCATTACAGATATTCAATAAAAGGAGTCCTGGTATGTGACCTTGTGGCAGGCATGCTGCTGCTAGCCTTCTGCATGATTACAATAGACCATTTCTTCACACTGGTTTCATCACCTCAGCCAACATTTGACCAATGACAGTACTTCATCTTTCTTTAATAGCTTCTTGTGAGGGACTTTGTCAAAAGCTTTTTAAAAGTAAATTTAAAAATCCAAACAAATGTAATTGACTCAACTTTATCCACTATTTTGATGACACACAAGTGTATTCTAATAGATTGATGGAGTTGAGACGCAGTTTCTGCAAAAGTAAATCCTTTCACTCCATGCTCTGTTCATCTAGGTGTTTCATAGCTTTATTCATGATTTTTCAGCCAATTTACCTGGCGTTTAAATAAGGCATCATAGTCACGTTCCTTGGCCTGAACAGTTTACAGTATAAATGGTGCAATACAAAGACTAGGGTACAAGAACGCTGCCTCAGCTGATTGGCAATGGAAACCTAGGTCATCGGAGTGGGCTTTAAGCAGAGAGGGAAACCGCTTCATGTCCAGAAAGAGAGGCTGTTCTGGGCACTGGGGACAGTATGAGAGGAGACATGAATATAGAGTGTCAGAAAGCATTAAGGAGAAATAGCTGAACTTGAGAAATAGGATGTAAGAAAGTAGAAGTACTGATATGTTAGCAGGGCTATCAGACTAGAAGTATCAGTGCACCTTCACACTGTGATCATTCCTAGGGTCTTAGATTTGGAAACACAGTTTACAAAGAAACAGATTCTATACTTCTTCTGCCAATCAACAGCTGGTTTGTTGGCTGAACCAGTTGGTGGACACACCACACTGAAATGTAGAGATTCTTTTACTACCATCCTTTTCATGATCTGACAGCCACACATGATGCTCCTGGCAGGCATTGAGATCAAAGAACTTGCTGCAGAAAACCTGCTTAGAATTCTTAAGCTGAGCTGATGGCTCTACAACTGGAATGGGGATGTCTGCTGGGCAGCCAATGCAACTCCTCCTCCAGATCCCATGCCTCTCCAAACACTGTGATCTAGGGTCACCTCCAAGCACACCCATCTGGGAACATGCATTCAAGACCGCTCTTTGAACATCAACTTAATGTCAACCCTTGAAAATTACAAGCACTGTAATGCTACAACAGGAATCTGCTGCTGATCTGGTCTGGCCAATTTCACACCCTAAACTCAGAGCAATCCTACCTTGCAGGCAAAGCACCCCACTTTTCATAACCCATTCCCCGGACAAGCTTGTTCAGATTAAGAAGTCATAAGGCCTGGAGCCAAATGTCGCAACGTTATATGCACAGAAACATCCTCCAACTGTTTCATTTCTGCATTACACTAATCCCTCAGTACTGTTTAGAAATCATTAAATGCTGAATATTCAGATTAACAAGAAAAAAAGATAATGACAGATACCTGTTAATTCCTGAAATAGTACCTTATTTACTCTCCATGTATACTCAAGGTTCACTCAAATGTTCCCCAGCTGTGATCAGAGGTTCACATTTAAAAAGGACACACTTAAAAAGGCTTCATAAGCCTTATAATTGCTTATCACCTCTTTCAAGCTTGAATCTGAAATCCATTTCCTTTCCATGCATTTGCTCTTTACCTCATTCTACGCATACTGGTTGGTTAGATCCTCAAGACAAAAGGCACTGCAGAGGTGCCAAGTACTGTGCTGTTATTGTAGGGCCGGGCTGAACACACTGGTTTCTTTTGGTAGGGTTGCTAGCACTGAACTTTGATGTAGGAACGGAAGCGCACTGAGGCACGTGGCTTGGGAAGAAACACCTAGTTATCTGGGTTCAACAAACAGATTGGAAGGTGTAAAATTTTATCTAGACAGCATTTGTTCAAGCTGATCCCCTTGCCCTGTTTAACACTTTAGGATACCATTGTTGAGATCATGCATTTCAAGATAGCTTGTGTTAAAAGAACAACACCTGACCACATGACCCTTTGGAATAGCAATAGTACAGTTTGGAAGCTGCATCTGGAACTTTCTATAAATCCAGGGAAAACAAGACTAAATTTAACTTGAGAGAGGGCTTACTTTTTTCTGGTGAAAATATGTGCATATCCCAAAGAGCTCTTTGTGCAAACAGGTGAAGCCCTCTCTGAAACCGACTGGCTTCCAAGATCCCTTGTAAAAAGATACAGATGGTCTCGGGTTTTGGGAACAAGAGCCCACTATGCTGCTGGGACAGTGTGTTATTGTTACAGGAGCGTCTCTCAACAAAACAGTATTGAGTGGCAAGGATGCCGTTTTGATTAGGTGGAATGACTCAGCTCTCATTCTAGGAGAAGGGATGGTTTGTCAGAGCCTTACCTCGTGATCTGGGATCTCGGAGGGTAGCGTTCTCCCCAGGATGACCCCAGTCAAGTATGTCCAGCAGCGGGCTGTGTTGGCAAGGTTATAGCCTCCTGTCTCCAGCAAGAATAGTGAAATTAGGAAGGGAAGAGGGAGAGAGAATGAGAGAGACAGTTTTAATGAAAGGAATGCATTGTTGAGAAGCAAGAGACTTTATATCTGCAATGCATATGAATAAGACTTTTTATTTGGTCTTCCAAAGTTATGCATAGTAACTGTATTTTGCACCTGTTGGATGTATAGGGCTAAGTTAAAGCAGTTAATCACCTGTACTAAGAAGGGAGACTTGCAAAATTGAACCCACAGGTCATCTCAGCAATTTCACATGCAATATCATCCACTCCTCCAGATCTGGCTTCAAGAGATACCTGTAAGCTGCAAGCCTTTGACTCCAAGGGTCAAGATTTCCAAAGGTGACATGGTGGGGAGAGAGATGCTCAGGCTCAGCATGGAAGGAGTTAACGTGAGTGGAGCTGAGCAGACTAATCAGGTACAGTAGTTTGGGATCTCACTTTTAACCTTAGCTTGTGACCCAATATGAAATCAAGGATAAGCAACACTGATCATTTGCTGATAAAATTTCCATCGGTGCCACCTTCTGAGCAAGAATCCCTCTGGAGGAGAATTTACTCTTATTTAAAAGTAGTAATCAAAATATGAAGCCAATTAAAGTGGTGAAACAACCTGTGAGTAGGTTCAGCATCTGAGCAGCCCCAAATTAACACAAACTCCCTAGTAGGGCTCATTCTGGGGCTCAGCTAGTCAAAAGCACCAATCTGTTTGCAGTCAGCACCGCTGATGTCCTTACTTTGTGCAAGGGGACTCCTTCCATTCAAATAACCGTCAGAAACGTTGAGGAGTTCTTACAAAAAATGAAGAGTAACTTAATCAAAACTCCACTTTGGGAGATTGAAAACAGTTTCACAAACTCTGTCCCTCTTTGCCTTCTGGCAAACATCAATCTCCCTGCTGAGAATGGAGTCATCGGGGATACTCAGTTTTGTTATTTTCCCTAAGACAGTGGCTAGTTTTCCTCATTTCTTGGCAAGAAGTGGTAGGTAAAACAAAATTCTCTGTGCCTCGCCTCCTCATGCTCACAGCTGGCTTTAACACAGAACAGTCACAACACAACTAGCAGTAGCCAGGTCAAATTTTAGGCCCAATCTATTGTACTTGATGATATCCCTTAAATGATACAACTGAGCCCCCAAAATGATAGCTGCTACTCAAACAGCTGATGCTGTGGGTAAGGCATCTTCCAAAAGAAGCTAAGGAGATTTCCTGGGACAAAGTGCTCCCCCATTGCCCCATTTTGTTGACACGGAATTGCTTATTTCTCATCTACTGGACAAGCAGCTAGTAATATCAAGCGGCAGAATGTGCTACAAGCGAAAAAGCACTCAAGGGGCTTCCATCTGGTATCAAAATTCTGCTTTATTCTGAAAAAAGCAGATAAAAATTCAAACGCTGCCTGAATCCAAAAAAGATAATTCGTTGCCAGATGCCCAAGGTAGGTCTGGGAGCATTATGTTTACTTTTAAAGAGAAGCCCCGCAGTGCAGATCATGAGAGCTGGGACTCAAAGCTGGCATTGAGCAGACAGGGTCAGAGGTCACTGGGGTTAACAGCTTCTGATCTCTGGAGGGGCCAAGCAACCTTTAACCCAGAATCTCGGAGTCAGGAATTGAGACTTGGACTTGTTGGTACCAAAGAGTTGAAGTCTGTGTACAAATAGCACTGCACCAGCTATACAGTGCCCCCCTTATGCTATGCGTGCTCAATTTCTTCAGCTGCCCTTCTCAAATGATGCCGCTTTCAGAAGCAGAGGGGCTCACTTTCAAAGAGCAGCCTCAGGGGAGCAAACCGTATTAACCTGTTACTTGAAGAGCAGAATAAGCCTCTCATGCACTTACCTCCTCCCAGGATGAGAGTAGCCAGCTGCCACTGGAGAATGTACTTCAGACACTTGCCAATCCCCACTGGAGTCATGTTAAATGAACACATGGGGTCCCCGGCTATCGTATCCGCTCCCAGCTGCAGAACTACTGCTTCCGGGTTGAATGCCATGTACACCTCCTTCAACACACTGCATGCAATAAAACAAAACGGAGTTCCCACAAATGGCCACACCTCCATGGAACGTTGAGACAGTGTGGTATGTGCAGACCACTTCAGCCAGCTACAGCACATTGTTACTTTGCCTTTCCAATCACTGGCTAGGCTTTACATTCTGAGCAGAGAAGTACTTTCTTATTTCCAAAAATGTCACTTTGGTCAAAGTTATGGCAGGCATGGTAGACCTGGACTCTGCTCTTCAGTCACACTGCACACTAAAAGGGCCTAAAAACAGTAAGAAAATGGGAAGTGATTTTGCAGTACCATATATACCAACAAAGATCCAGGCCAGAGGCTCCAAAACTGTGGTCCAGAGACCACTCTTAGCCCACATTTCTGGGGAAAAAAAAAACACTTTTACCTCGGCAAATGAGGAGAAAAATGTACCCAGATCTCACTTGATACATAAACATAAAACAATGTGACAAATCAGAGAGCTAGTTACAGGTAACAGCTCCTACGTGATAAGGATCTTACATTTACATGACATTCATCCAGACGTATCCCAAACATTAGTGAAACTTCAGCCCCAGTTGTACTAACACTTACTTGCCTAAGTAACTTTACACATGTGAGCAGTCCCACTGAGCTCAAAGTTATTTGTGTGCACAAGTGTCTGCAGGACCAAGGCACTGGGTTTTATGAGCTTCAGGTAAAAGCATTACTTCATTCACCAGTGAGGGCTTAGTTCGTGACTTAGTTCGTGCCAAGCTGGGGTGTAAGCCTACAGTGCACTAACTGGCCATGCAGACCCTGCTACTGCACACTAACTGTTCTGGAGTGCACTCTGATGTACTGCTATGGATCTTTAAGTGTGCAGCAGCAGGGTCCACGTGGCAACTTAGCGTACTGCAGACTAGTGAGCTGTACACTCACACCCTTGCTGCACACTACATTGCCGTGTACAAAAGCCCTGAAGTGCACTCACTTCTGGGAGAAATGCAACAAATGTTGAAGAGTGCAGCAGTGTCCAGTGTTCATTCATTAATAATATGGCGTCTACACAGTAATAGTTTAGGATAGGAAGGGAAGAGCTGTATCCATGTCTGTCTGCAGAGGTAAATAGCAGGTAATTACCCACACAGAATTTGGGAGGGAAACTAAAGCCCCATATGTGCTGAGACCTTGGCCAAGGGCGCAGGACTTCTCAGGGAAGTGGGAATTGGTATAAAAAGAGGAAAATGATGATTTTAGCAGATTAATATCTTGAAAGAGGAGCTTTCATACCCGCACCCCCCATCAAAATAAACCAACCTTGAGTTTTTTCTTCTTGTGAGCAGCAGACAGGATCTAAACTGTATACTGCACCTCCCCATACAGTCACAAAGGGCATTGCTAACCTTGGCATTGTACTTTTTTTTGCTTCTATGATACAAGGATCACATGTGATCTATTTGCCTGACACACTTTTTGCTACACGCTGGGGATTTTCACTGATCAATAACATGAGACAGTCAAGTCTTTGTATTTTGTAGGAACTCTAATAATTTGTAAGTCTCTACCTGACAACCATGATGTGGAACTACTTGAACTTAAGATATCACTATCCACATCAGGGTGTTTCAAGAGGTAGCTGACCGCACCCAGCCAGCAAGTCATAGGTTTGAGGTTTTGTTCGCCTGCCAATCGGAAGGGATATAGGGAGTGCATCAGGCTACAGCATATTAGTAACTTCCTTCTAAACACGAGGTGCCCATCTCATATTTGGTATGTAACCAGGAAACATGATCTGTACAGCATGGCTGACTCAGGTTCAGATGCTTTCAGCAAGCAGAGCTGCACAAATGGGAAAGTCACCAGGGTACAGTGTGGGGAGAGCGGATGTCTTAGGAGATTAGCAATAGGATATGGATTCTTCAGCTTTACAGCAGACCACTGCTCCAGAGCCAGCTCAGGGCAGGTATGACCAAGAGTTGCTACCGTCCAAGAGCTAACTGGTAGACAGCATGGGGGAGGGGGCCGGGGGGGTAAGAGGATGAAGAGAAGAATCACAATTTAGGTGATAATTGAACAGGTAAACAAAACCCCACCCACTGATGTCATCCCTCATCCCAACTGACCTTTCCCCAGAACACTCCCCTCTGCTGAAGTTCTCTACTTCTGTTAGATATACACTAGTTTCTGGCTACCTCAAACAGCTTGCTATCTCCTAACAAAGCACTCTGCATTCCTCGAGGCTCCATTAGCAAAGGGCAGACACATGTGAAACGCCATGTCCAGTGGAATGTTTGCCTCTTGCGAGAGAAGAACGGGAAGGTCTAAGGCCATTAGCTCCAATGTCAGAGGGGCTGAAATTTCTGCCAACAGCCACTTTCCAAGACACACATATTGATTGGCAATTTTGTGAGAGCTCTCCAGCACCAACGACAGCTCCCATTGGAACCTGTAAACATTTGCACAGGTCTGGGTCTCCTTAATCCTGCCTCATCTAGGGGACATTCTATTCTTGTGGCAGAATCCACCACTTCCACAGAAGGCAAGAATTGCTACCACACAAGCCCTGTGATTATTCCCTTCATTCCGAAAAGAACTACCCTGGACACATGCAAGAGGTTTCCAGCCACACAGAACCAATCCAGGTCCCAAGTCTTCCCAAAATTTCTCAGCAAAAGCTCCCAGTTAGGACAGTGAAGTGTCCCTGCAGGCTGCTCTGACCTTTTTGCTGACAATATAAAAAGTTTTTAACTTCAACACTCACCCTAAACAGTACTTTTCATTTTTAAAGCACTTTGCAGACCTTACCTAAACAATAAACATCAATACTGCCTAAGCTCCTGGAATCTCTGTTGATAATTCAGCCCCATACTCAAGGAGCGAGTAACTCTTTCTACTGATCTGGGAAGAGATGAGAAGTGCTGCTCTGCAGTCAGCTCCCTCTACATGCTGGGAGAATTTCTCCTCTAGGCAACCTCTGATACTGGTGCCAGATTTGACGAACAGGCTAAACTTCAAACTATGCAAGAATGTAACAGAAACCAACTCCAGGTGGCCAGAGAGCATCCAGTCAGCCCAACACTCTAAGAGTTTATCTCACAGGATTCTATCATGCCTGACCATGACTGTGGACAATCAAGCGAGGTGACAACGATGACCATAGCTTAGTGGGCAGTGTGGACGAGGACAAACTGGGTTCAGCATTGTGTCGGCTAACTGATTAAACCCCATCAGGGCAGCATACAGGGAGAAGATGGCATTGCCTGTGCTGTGCTTTGTGTAGCTGAACAGAGGCCCTCAGTCCCCAGGGCTGTCAGGCCAGCATCTTTCATCAGCTCTAAATTCACTCAAAACAAGGAAGTGGCAGAAGTATAAGTACCCCTTTGTTACATACTGAAAGGTCAGAAGAATAGAGCCTCCTGACTGGAGTGCAGCTGAGAAGAGAGGGTGGGTTTGTGTTGGGGTGGGATGTGAAAGCCAACCACTCTAGTTTCTTGACTGAAAACAGAATGGAAGCCAAAATGTTATCTAGCCTTGATTACACTCATTAGTGATCACACAGGCACAGGGAAGGACTGGAGGCATTCAAACCTTCTCTTAGCTAGTCACGAGTGAATCTCAGTACGGTCTGTGGTTTTGAAAAATCTGGAAGAGCTCCCTAAGTTTGGGCTCCTCTTCAAGCATTTACCTTGACCTTCGAAAAACAAGTTAGGGAATAGTCCCCTAGCCCTCATGAAACTGTGTCCCAAAACCACCAAACTACCACCCCCCAAATCCGTTCTCCTTCTCAACAACCACAGCACTCAACAGTAACAGATTCTGCCTCTCTCCCCACTCAGCCTGTTCTCTCTGTCCTTACAGATGACATCCATTCCTTTCCAGATTAAACAAAGGCATCCTTGTCCTGATTCTCCTTCCCTCTCAAAATCCCAAAGACTTAAGGCTGAAATCTGCCCATGAGGCTCATTTAATGCAGGTCACTGGTATGAAAGACCTTTTACTGCCTGGAGAGCTCTGCAACACCTGTGCATAGCAATCCATCAGACACAATCCAGCTCCAGCCAGTAATAGCCAAACCTGATCATCACCTGAAGGCTGTTCCATAGGCTGTATGGGAAGCACACTGGTGGTCTCAGCCCTGTTACAGGCAGGCAGATGACTGCATCACAGAACATCCTCACTACTGACACATTTTCCTGTCAGTCTCCAGTCTTTTCAGAATGGATCACATGGAGAATGGGCTTTCCCTTCTCATCCCGAGGAGCGTTCTCCGCCATGCAGGGGGAATTCCGAACATTGAATGGGTCTCTGGGGAGAACCTCATGCATCTTGTGATGCAGGCTAGGAACAGCCTTGAAAATGAAGCTGTTCCTGGCACCCAAAAGCAAAAGAAATGGATAATTTCCATGTTCAGCTTGTCCATTTATCAGATTCATCTTCTAGTTGCCGTGTACACCTTGCACTCCCTACCAAACACTGTTAACCATTTATGATCTCTCCCCAAAGTGCAGTGTGGGATGCAACTAACATTCCTCTATAAGAACACTGGTTTGGGAAGCACATTTTAGTTTTTGGCTGCAGTCACTCTGGATGGGCCAGTCAGTGTAGCCAAGCTCACTAGGTTCAGAGAAAAGCCAGAGTTTGCACTGGACATACTGTGACAACAGTCACATTCGTAAACAAAGCTCATTTTGCTTACACAGGAATTGGGACCATCTCCTTTTCTTGCCTGGCAACTGGACTTGAGGTCCTGGCTGTACTTGAGCCCATCACATTCCAGTTTGCCTATACTGATGCCTAGAGGATTTCAGGCTCTACTGCTGTCAAACTGGCACCTTCCACCAGCACAAAAGTCCCAAAAATCAAAGATTCATAGAAGATTAGGGTTGGAAGAGACCTCAGCAGGTCCAATCCCCTGCTCAAGGCAGGACCAATCCCCAACTAAATCATCCCAGCTAGGGCTTTGTCAAACCAGGCCTGAAAAACCTCTAAGGATGGAGATTCCACCACCTCCCTAGGTATCCCATTCCAGTGCTT